ACGTGCTGAAGCTCGGCGGCCAGATGTTTTCTGTCACAGATCCCTCGTGCTCTCTGAAACAAAGATTTTCCCACGGTAGCTAACTGTGAAGGATGATGGTGAGATTCACCATTTAAATATCGGTTGGTATGGGTATTTTTTCTGTACACAGTATGACCAATAGTGTTATCAGGATTTCGGATGACTAAAATTTAATAATTAAATTTAATATTAAAAAACTGAAGGTAGCCGGGCTAACTATGACAGCAGGACTTCAAACAACTCAGTCCCCCGTGACCACGGGTGCTGGAAAGCACCCGAAACGTCGGGAATATAAAAATAAGTTAATATACGCGATAAAATCCGTAAAATTAGTTTTATTTAAAAATGTGTAGTGTTCGCGTAAATATAAGAAATCATTACGAGTTTATTTATTTAAAAATTGTCATGATGGTAAAACGAATATTTCTTTATTATACACTACTCTGCAGGTGTCTTATTACTGCATTTTATAATTTATTAGTATTCATATTCAATTGGGAGGAGTCTCTTAAAGAAAAGTTTATAGAAATATGTGAACTGTAGATTCACAATACATATATTTATGAAAATGTAAAGTATGAACATAAATACAGGAAATTTTCATTAAGGAAAGAGTTATTAATATTTTAGTACTAGTATCAAAAGTTAAACAATTATAAAAGCAAGTTCCGTTATGTCTTCTCATTTTTAACCGACACACTCTAACTACACCCACTCTGTTCTAGTCACATTCAACCCTTAGGAGAGTGACCACGTAACGGCCTATGATAGGAGAGAGCTCTCATTGCCTTTACACAAGAGATGTGGACTGTTTGCTGTAGTCACATACTGGTCACATAAGCGATTTAATCAATCATGTCTCCAGGATGTGACCAGCTTGTCTCAAACTTCTCTGCCATGCGGGTTTTTCTAGTTCGTCTGGAGATATGCTCTAGAATTAAAAAGTAAGCTGCTGAAACTCTGTCTAGAGACAGGTTGGTAAGCTGAGTGTTGTCTGCGCTCAAGCTGCGCAGACGTATTCATCGGTCGAGCCCATGCGCTTCCGTGTTCTACAGTGCTATTGTGTGCGTGACAATAACATAACAATTCTCGAAAGTGCTTCAGTGATGTTTGTACGTCATCGTTGGCGTCATGTTAGACCGGCTCGCCGATCCATTGTCCTTTTTGTGTTGTGATTAGTAGAGTGCCACATGCTCTGCCGATTTCGCACCGCCGCCTCAAAGGGGACTATTCTATTGTTTCAATTTCTGTGTTTGCTTGTCGCTTTAGGCGACAGATAGGTAAATACTCTATTATATCAACGCACTACGTGTATAGGGAGTGGGGGAGGCTTGGTAGACAAGTGTTTTTAAGCCTTAATAAAATGGTGGCTATAACGATAGCCGAACCCACCGACTTTCTAACGTATCATCATCATCATCATCATCATCATCATCATTACAGCCTGTCATAAGTTCACTGCTGAACATAGGCCTCCCACAAAGCACGGTCCTGAGCCACCTGCATCCATCGACTTCCTGCATGTCTTACCAGGTCATCACTCCATCTCGTGGGGGGTCGCCCTACACTTCGCCTACCGGTACGAGGTTGCCACTCAAGAACCTTTCTTCCCCATCGGTTGTCGGTTCTTCGAGCTATATGGCCGCCCCACTGCCACTTCAGCTTACTAATCCGTTAGGCTTTGTCGGTTACTCTGATTCTACTGCGGATATCCTCATTCCTAAGTTTATCACGCAGAGAAACTCCAAGCATAGACCTCTACATAGCTCGTTGAGCGACCTTGAGTTTCCTCATACGGCCAGCAGTGAAGGACCACGTCTCAGGTCCGTAAGTCATCACTGGCAACACGCACTGGTTGTACAATTTCGTTTTAAGGTTTTGAGGTATGTCTGACGAGAAGATGTGTCGTAGCTTCCCGAACGCTGCCCAGCCGAGTTGGATCCGTCGATTGACCTCTCGGTCGAAGTTGGACTTACATAGTCGGACTATTTGTCCCAGGTCTCAACTCAACTCGTCAACAATTTCGAGCTCCCAACAACTACCGGCATAGGTGTGACATGGACATTAAACATAATCTTTGTTTTGTCCATGTTCATCTTAAGACCTATCCGTTGGGATACACTATTGAGATCATTGAGCATATTGCTTAGGTCCTCCAGCGATTCTGCCATAAGGACTATATCGTTGGCAAATCGAACGTGAGTGATGTACTCGCCATTGATGTTGATACCGTATCCTTTCCAGTCCAGAAGCTTGAAAACGTCTTCAATGCAGCGGTGAAGCGTTTCGGGGATATAACGTCACCCTGTCTTAAACCTCTCTGCAATTGGATATGTTTCGTATTCTGGTTCTGTACTCGGATATCCATCGTAGCACTACTGTACTTCAGCACTTCGATATACCTACAGTCAACTTGGCCCCGCCGAAGGGACTGCAGCACCGCCCAAATTTCGACGGAATCAAAGGCTTTCTCAAAGTCCACATACGCCAGGCATAGTGGAAAATTGTACTCCTCGCACTTCTGTGCAACTTGCCGAAGGCTATGTATGTGGTCTATGATGCTAAAGTCCTTTTGGAAACCGGCTTGTTCTGGAGGCTGGAAATCGTCAAGTATGCACGCGAGACGATTCGTAATGACTCTCAAAAACAGCACGTAGACGCGGCTCAGAAGAAAAATCGGTCTGTAGTTCTTCAAGAGAGCGTTGTCACCTTTCTTGAAGAACAAGACCACCGCACTTCTGCTCCACGCCTTCGGTGTTATGCCACCATGGAGGACGGAATTAAAAAGCCTCTGAAATAATTCTAGTACCGGTCCTCCACCCGCTTTCAGAAGCTCCGCTGTAATTCTATCCTCGCCTGGGGCCTTGTCGTTTTTAAGGTGCTGGAGAGCCATTGTAATCTCGCTCAGACTGACGTCCGGGATATCATCGGAATAGTGTCGGATAAGACTCGCTCTTGGATCGTTACTCACACTTGCGTGTGGCTCCAACGATGACGTGTACAGCTGACCATAGAACCTCTCAATCTCAATCAAAATCTCAGGTGCCCCGGAAACGATGCTGCCACACTCGGTCTTAGGCTTTGACAGTTGGATCTTTCTAGCAGACAGATCTCTGGCAAAGACTTTGGAGCCTTGGTTCCGCTCGATCGCTTCTTCAATACAAGCTGTATTGAAGTTGCGTAAGTCCCGCTGCATGCATTTGGAGATCTGTCTGTTCAGTTGCCTGTATGCTGTCAATTCCGTTGAAGAATGTAGCTTCATCTCCTGTCTAACAGTCATGAGATTAAGAGTGTGATCGGAGAGTTTTTGTGTTCTTCTGCGGCGGGTCTTGCAGAACTTAGCTCCGACCGCATGGACAGTTTCCACGAGCTTGTCATTCATATCGTCTACTTCATTGCAGTCTTCTAGGCACAGAAAACGATTTTGTAGCTCGAGCTGAAAGGTTTCGGGACTTTGGAACAAAGCATGAGGGGGACGGAGCGTTGACTTCATTAGACGAGACCTCTCCAACTTAATGTTTACGTTGAGTGTGCCTCTCACCATTCGGTGATCGCTACCAGTTTTCACCCTTGCGATCACGGAAACATCACTGAACAGTTGTCGTCTGGTCGTCATTTATTTATTAATTGGGTCTACCAGCGATTTTACATTATATAAGTTACATACATTTCTTAAAGTATAATTACTATATTACTTGCACAGAGTATGTAAAATCATTTAAAGGTAAACACTACATGCTTTTTTTGCTAGTATTAGTGTATAAATCTGAAATAAGTTAATAATAGAAAAAAAAAACAAAATCAGAAACAAACAAAAAACACAATAGTGATTTTGGTAAAAGCATGTGAAACCTTAACTACGAGTATTTAAACAACAAAAGAGATTTAATCAAACTACTAATTTGTCTTTCAATTAAAATTATAACTTAATTTAACAACTATCAATATCTAACCAAACCAAATATATATTCCGAGTACAAGAAATTAAAAGAAAATATACGTAATAATTAATATGAGAAAAAAAATCACACTCAGGATGACTGGCTGACTAGGTTGCTGATAATTAATTTACAAAAGGTGTTAGACGTATTATTGATGATGTCAATTAACTGACTGAATTAATTATATATTTTACATAAACGAGGGATTGTGAAGTTGGCGCCGAATACCGTCCTGGTGCGTGGAGGCATGACCGGAGTAATAGCAGTACGCGGATATCTGCGTGGTACTCGAAAATTAATTTTACTTAGTAAACTGGGGCAGTCTAACTTAGTACTTAGTAATTTGTATAAAAACATTAAATCTACCAATTGTCTTCTTTGGTCAAGAGTCATGATGTTAAAGTATTTTAGCCTTTTTCATAGGACACCACCGTTTTGTTAATCTTCGCTGAGTATGATAGATGCCACATGAATCTTTTCTGTACACGCTCCAGTCTTAAGTAGTGTGTAGAATAATGTGGACGCCATATAACGCTACAGTACTCTAAGTGACTGCGGACAAGGCTGTTGTAAAGATAGATTTTTGTTTTAGCTTCTTTAAAAGTTCGACCTTGTCGCATAATAAAACCTAACAATTTAGAAGCTTTGTTTATTACACTTTCTATGTGGTAACGATAAGTCAATTTTTTATCAAGTATAACACCCAAGTCTTTCACGAGCTCAACTTCCTTAAGACTATTACCGTATAATTTATATGTCGTTGGCGTAATATTATTTTTTCTAGTAAATTTAATATGAAGACATTTACTGCATTTGAGTTGCATGCCGTTAGATTTTCACCAGTTGGTTAGTTTATCTAGATTGCTCTGTAATAAAATCGAATCCATTGGTGAACAAATTGTTCTCGTTATTTTCAAATCATCGGCATATAAGTATGGTGTGGAGTTTTCAAAACAAGAAACAATGTCATTTACAAATATATTAAACAAAATTGGGCCAAGATGCGAGATGATGTATACCTGACGTTACGAGATTGGTTCAAGAGCTAAACCCATTAACAACTACATAAAAAAAACGGTCGTGTAAGTATGATGAAAGCCATTTTAGCACCGGACCTGAAAACCCACAATACGATAACTTTTCAATAAGTATTCCGTGTGGAACTTTGTCAAATGCCTTTTTAAAATCCGTATATATGGTATCCACCTGCTTCTGCGAGTCAATAGCTTCTGATAATGAGGAAGTGAAACTAACTAAATTAGTGGTGGTAGACCTACCTAGCAAAAATCCATGTTGATGCTCAGAAACGAAACGTTTGAAATGAATTTGAATTATTGGACAACCTAAAGATTCAAACACCTTTGCATAAACCGAGAGAATTGATATGGGCCTATAGTTGCGTATATCTTTCTCATCATCACTCTTAAATATTGGAACTACTTTTGCTTTTTTCCATAAATCTGGAAAAGTACCTGAACACAGCGAAGCTTTATAGATAAGATATAAAGGCAAAGATAGGCTAGTTGCACTATTTTTTATAAATACCGGTGGTAAATAGTCCGGTTCTGCACCTTTCCTAATATCGAAACCCTTCAGCTTTTTGAAGATTTCATTCTGATTTATTTCTATACTTGCTAGATTTTCATTAAAGCCTAAATAGAGGATTTTTCGTAAATGAGATGACGGATCAAAACGACAGGAACTATTTGAATCAACATATATCGAAGCAAAATAACTAGAGAACATATTGCATATTTCAACTCCGCTAGTAGAAGTTTTAACTCCGTTTTTCATAGCAGCTCGATACGAGTTAGAATTATTGCGTTTACTCTTTAGGAACGTCCAAAATGCTTTCGGATTATTCTGAACTTGCTTTTCCAGGTTTTCGTTATAATTGTTGTAGGCATCACGCGTAATTCTATTACAACGATCACTAAGCACTCTTAGTTCTATTTCATCCATTGGATTATTATATTTTTTAAATCGTTTTAGCATTTTGTGCTTTTCCTTAATTCTTTTTGCAACATTGTGATTGATCCATAAAGTGTACCTATTACTCTTAGCTTTTTTTAACCCCTTGTCTGTGCGTCGACCAGCAGTCGGCACGTCAAATTATTTGCGCATCTGTGAGCCGACCAGCAGTCGGCATCGTTTCTTGTTTATGTTTTCGCGCTCTTTACGACGGAACTACGATGCGTTTTTTAGGTGCGACACTTGAAATCATAGACTAATAATATATACTCAGTGTCAAACTGCTTTACTGTTACTCTTTGCTCCGTAAAAAAAAAATATCGGCACTTCAAATTGGACGCTGTCAAACCAACCGACTCCGGTTTTGTCACGCCTTTGATAAGTTTTCTTGAATCAAATTTGTTGTGATTTGAAGGAGAAACCATGGAAAGGTAAGTACTTTCACATTTTTATTACTGGGAAACATATAATTTTGCTAATTTAATTGTAAAAACCAGGCCAAACCAACGACATAGCCGTCTAACGAACTATGAACGTACTTTTATTTCTGCAATATTTGGTCTAAAAAGTGAATAAAACCGTAATGTTTTGGAGAATTTAAGCTACTAATGTAATTAATTTGCAATGGATGACAATGGTAAACGTGTATTTAGCTTTGAAAACTTTAATTTTGGGTCTAAATACGTGAAGGTTATTTCTTTGCCGTCAGTCGGCAGGGGCACAGACAGGGTTTTGGCAGTTGATGACGTCATAACGGCGGCATGTCGGGCATGCTAGAAATTATAGATACGCTTTTGTATTTTCTGTTTGAAGTTATTTTTAAATATTTTGCATGTAATGTTACATCACTTTTAATTGCATAAACATTTAGTTACTGTGGAGATATAGTGGAAGTTGCATACTTTTTTGTAGTATGTCATTTCTGTATGCTTTGTATGGTGTGCAATAAAGAATATTAAATAAATAAAATAAATAAATATAAAATATGGGAGCGAAAAAACTTAGCAGAATTTTTGTAATTTTTTATTTTTTATGTTTGCATCATGTAGAGGGCGCATATACTAACACTTTTTGTCGTAAAAAGTTTTGGGCTTGGATGAACCTGAGCAAAGATATTTAGGTATTTGAAGTACCAAGTAGGTACCAAGATAAAAATACAGCATTTTTGTTTCTTTTTTCTTTTTTCTTCGTTTGCGTCGTGTCGGGGGGGCACCCAAACAAACAATTTTTTCCTGAACAATTTTGGACTTAGACGAACCTGGGCCGAGATAAAGGCATTTGAAGAGCGTCCAAGCCCAAAATTGTTTGGGACAAAAAGTGTTTGTTGCACGATGATAAATTTAAAAATAAATAATTTTATTTTTAACTTTGACAACCAATTTTTTTTTTCAAAAAATTTCTCCAAAAATAATATTTACATATTTTCTAGACGTCTTATAGTAAGTTAAAAAAGTTACGCATGGACATTACTAAATTAGCTCTAAGGGCACCTTTTGCATTCATGTCTCGCGTATCTCTTGCATTTTTGTGTTTATTTTCTCTTTGGTTTGCATGCTTTTTGTTTTTGCTTTTTTCTTTAAAGGGGTGGACGTGGTCGTGCTCGTGGCCGTGGGCGTGGGCGTGGTGCGCACACTGGTGGTGAAGGGGCGCATGCGCACACTGGTGGTGAAGGGGCGCATGCGCACACTGGTGGTGAAGGGGCGCATGCGCACACTGGTGGTGAAGGGGCGCATGCGCACACTGGTGGTGCGCGGACGCGTGGTGGGCCCACTAGCGGTGCTGGCCACACCGAAAGGCCTTCTGCTGTTGATCCGTAATAACAAATTTAACAACTAACAAGTTTCTTCGTTTTTTTTTAGCAACATTAATATTCTGCATTAATATTTTAGAGTTTACTGTGGCATGGTGGGGGAGTTGCCGGTGGGGAGGCCTCTAGAGCGGCCGCTGACTCAGCGGCGACCTCGAGTACTGCCTGCCGCAAGGCGAGGGTAAGCACTTCGAAGTTGGTTTTGTTACTCGATTCACGTGCAGGGCATTGAATTTAACTTTCTTTTTAGTCCCGTGCCGGTGTCGTTGTGGTCGTCCATGGACCTCCTCACCGGCAACCACCCGACCCAGCCGCTGAGCCCTCAGGAGGACCGAGCTGCAGCGGCCCAACCAGCAGTAGTTGATATGGAGCTTTGCTCAGTTCCTTCACCTGCTTTGTAAGTTTTTACTTATATTCATATTTTGAAGCTAAACTTTTCGTAACTGGTCATAAAATAACGTATTTTTAACACTATTTATGTTTTACAGACACGTTGAAGTTGGAGGGAGTGGAACCTCCACACCTAATCGGACTCCAACGTCCCGAAAGCGAAATGCGTAAGTTTTTCCTTTATTGCTTTATTAAATATTGATAGTATTTGACTTTGAACTGTTAACTGTTCGAATATAACTATTACGATAGAAATCAAAAAACAACATTATTTTTTCAGATCGGACCACAATGACATGGGGGCTAAACGGCGTCTGTGAGTGCCTATTAATAAATATATATTCTATGTGCAGAAGTGTCTACTTAATATTTTGATTCTTAATAATTTATTTTCTTCTTTTAGAATTACTTCCTCGTCATCTTCGTCGCGTCCTCTAAGGGATATTGAAATATCCAACGCCCTTAATTATGGTAAGGGAAAATAGTTTTGCTTTAGCTGCTAATAAAAATACAAATAAAACCCGTACTGTGTTCTATAAACATCAGCTCTCATGTTACTGATTCTGTTACATAAGTAGTAACTTAATACAGTCAATTATTTTTAGAATAATTGACTGTATTAAGTTACTACTTATGTAACAGATTATTTTAAAAAAAACGTAATTTATTACAGTCGGCCAATGTGGTTATTTTATCTTATATTTTACAGGCAGCGACGAGGACTCCGAAGAAGATGGCGAAGAAGAAATTGGACTCCAATCCACCATAGTCCCCAGGGTGGTACAAATGTTCGCGGCATCGGAGGATGAGGGTGAAGGTGGGGAAGTAGACGCATTTATTTCTTTTTCCTGGCCTCCGACATCCAATGATCACCCACCTGTCCCTAACTCTTCCGGTCCCATTCCTTCCACATCCCATGTTCCTGATTATTCTGTTCCGCCTTCCTTACCTACCCATACTCCCTCGTCCCCATCCTGTCCCATGTCGGAGCCAGGAAATAAATTTGATTTTAAATGGAGGGGGTTCCCGCAACCTCAAACTCCTCCTGAGCTGAGGAGGGAACCGTTCTCCCAGATAAACTGTGGGCCCACGGTTCCATATGCGAGCCCATATGACGCATTTACTGCCATATGGGATCGCGATATAATGGAACACATTGCCATGGAGACGAATCGATATGCACAACAGCTTGCAACGGTCATGCTGGTGGACGGTTCGCTCTGTCCGAGCAGCCGCATCACCAAATGGAAAGACACCGACGTAAGTGAATTGCACGTGTATTTCGCTATAATCCTCGCTACCGGGATTGTGGTGAAATCACGTCTCGAGGAGTACTGGAACAGCACGCTGGACATTTTCAGTACCCCCGGGTTCACTGCGGCGATGACGTATGACCGCTTCATGCTGTTGAGCAAATGTCTCCACTTTCAGGATAATGACGGTTGCGATCCTGAACTGATGACACGGGCTCAGGCCAAGTTGTTTAAGGTGCAGCCAATTTTGGATCACCTTAACAACAAATTCCAACAATTATATGTTTTGGGTCAAAACGTGTCTGTGGATGAAAGTCTGACCATGTGGAAGGGTTGGTTAGATATTAACCAATTCATCCGCAACAAAGCAGCTACAGTAGGAATTAAAACATACGAGGTGTGTGAGTCCCAGACTGGTTACTTGTGGCGCTTTGAAGTCCACGCAGGCCATGATACCTCCTCAGACCCACAAGAGGACAGTCCAGTTTCTGGGAAAGTGCCAGCTCTTGTGCTCAGACTTTTAAATGGTCTTGAGCATAAGGGCCACACGATTTGGATGGATAATTTCTACAATTCTCCCGCGCTTGCGCGAGAATTGAAAGTTCGGGGGTTTGACTGCGTGGGGACCTTACGAACGAATCGTCAGTTTGTTCCCATTGAGCTGACGAATCTTACGAAAAAAGACATGGCGATAGGTCAGGTGAACGGTTGCACTTCGGGGGATGTGGACCTCATCGTATACCGGGACAAAAACCGTGTGGCATTTGTCTCGACATACCATGGGCTAGCAACCGCGATGTGCGGCGATACACACAAGCCCACCGTCATACCAGACTATAATGTCTGTATGGGGGGGGTTGATCGCAAAGACCAGATGCTCGCCATGTACCCCATTGAAAGAAGGCGGAACAAAATCTGGTACAAAAAGTTTTTCAGGAAGCTCTTGAATGCTAGTGTTCTAAATGCCTACATACTCCACAAGGCACACCGCTCAATTTCTCACCGAAATTTTCGCCAAACTTTGGTGAGGGAATTGTTGGCAGCACACACACCACCAGCACCTACCCGTGCACTGCCGAACACCTGGCATTTTCCGGGGCAATACGATCTGCTCCCGGGAACAACACGGAACGAGCACCAGAGGCGTAGTTGTTCAGTTTGCAAAAAGCGAACATCAAGCTTTTGCAAAGCCTGCAACGTGCCCCTGTGTGTGTTTGGTTGCTTTGAGTCATATCACACTTCACAGTAAACTACACAAAAACACTGTCTTACACACAAGGTATTTAGGCACTAGTATTGAAGGTCTATCTGAAAAACACTTGTACTTGAGCACACAGTCCACCTGATGGTAAGTGGATACATCGTCACCCCTGAGGACTAAGATGGAATGCCTCCTTTTCAGTAAAAAGGGTATGCCGCTATTTTAATGGGAAGGTTAAAGTAGGTAGGTGTTACCATCCAAATCGTAATGGGAAATTTGGAAAACAAAAAGCTGCACATTTATATACTATAGTTTGTATATGTATGTATGTATGTGCGTATGTATGTATGTGCGTATGTATGTATGTAGTGCCTCAGATAGAGGGTTATGTTTTTGTGATAAATTTGTTTCTAACGAGTTATAATATGTATGTTTGTCTTTTGAAATTTTGGCTCATCATAAAATTGTTGGAACCTAGGTCCGTGTCATTCATTCAAATTGCAAACGTCATTATACTGATAAGGGATCGTACGAAAATTAGGGACGCAATGAAGGGGGGGGGGTTGCTCAACCTAATTTTCAGTACGTTTCCTTGGCATTTTGTAACATATGTATATATATGTCCATGATCGGTAGCCATGTACATATATATACATATATTATGTGTATATTGTACATATTTGTACATATCGAACAATGGTAAATTATGACCAACCATGCTTGGGTATCAACATGCTGCCTAAACCTTCACCTTCAACCTACAAGCCGCCGGTTCATTTTACCTCTTGCTGTGATTCGTGAACAAAGCATGATTTAAAAATTATGTCATATTAAGTAGTATCCCAAGTGATTGTCATTATTAGACCCGTTATGTTTACTATAATGTTTCAAAATAATGAGGGTTACAAAAATCACCTAGTCATTATCTTGTTGAAGACAAGTCGTATCCACACTTTGCTAGCATGTATGAGGCTAAAATCATGCTAGCAGTTTAGATATTTACTACTTTCATGAGCTTGATGTTTGAAATATTTCTTAGAAACAACTTGTTTTTTTTGTTTAATTGATTACTAAATTTAATGTATATCTTGAAACAATAATTTCTTTTCCATTTGTAAGTAGATATTATCCAAAATAGACATGTTTTTAGAGGTACTAATTTTGGTGTCAAATTACATACCATCTTTGCTCCACTCATACTCAAATTTATATTGAATGTAACATGATTCTTTTATTTATATTTGTAGCTTATAAGCTTAAGTTGCTGCAAACAAAAGGTCTTTGTCCCATTCGCTCAGGGTCATTTTAGATAACAAGAAATGTGAGACCCTTTTTTGTTTACTTTAAGTGGAAGTATTTTTTGTGTCAACTTTGTAAACATGTGTTTTGTGAAAAAAATGTATAGGACCTTGTTAATTTTGGTTTGTATTGTAAATTTAGATATGTAATGTGTTAATTAAAATTAGTTTCAGTTTAATTATTGTTTTATTTTATACAAATTATCAAGAAATACAATAAAATTTTCTGTACCCCATATTAAGTAGTAATGTTTCTATGGCAAATAACTACCAATATGCTAAATATGTAAAGATATATACAAAATAGGTAATTAAAACCAATATTTTAATTGTAAGCGTACAGCATTCCTTTAAAAAAATCGAGGAAATCCAACTTTAAAAAAAACATATGCTTATAATATCCCTGTCTGTGCGCTTGCCGACGGTCGGCATCACAGATACGCAAAATGGCGGAAACATTAGTCACACTGTTTAGAGGCTAAGGGAACTTAATCTGTGATAGCAATTTGTATACTCTCGTAGAATACTCTAACCATTTCATCTATATCATTCAGGTCCAATAATGTATGCCAGTCGATTCCATTCAAGTACTCATTTATAGAATTATAATCGGCTTTATAAAAATTGTATCGCTCGTATACTTCACATTTATCATAAGTATATTTTGTCTCACATTAGGTATGTTTATTTCAAGGGGAGGATGCATTGGGTCAATATTACTGATTGGATTATAATAGTAACTAACGGAACATACAGGTAAGTCTACGAGTACAAGATCTAGTATCTTTTGCCTATTATTAAGAATAGAGTTACATTGGCGCAAGCCATTTTCCGTTATGAAATCCAATAAGCTCTGTGCTGCTGGAGAAAAATTACATTAGCAGGGTTTGAGGATACATTCCAGGTAATACAGCTAAGATTAAAGTCGCCAATTATGCATGTTAACATATTTTGTTGCTCCAAAACTCTATTACAATTATTTAAAAAAATATCCAATATGTTCTTATTTACTGGTGGTGGAATATATATACCACAAAAAGCTATATGGCGTATGTTGTTAAAGTGGGGCGCATCTACAACCACCCACAAATCTTCACACTCGCTTTCCCATGGACTAATTCTATTTGAAATGATGTTTTTCTTAACAGAAATTAGAACACCCCCACCGTCAGACTTAGTACTAAATTTTGCAGTCTCTCTGTCTCTTCGATACACCTTATAACGTATATCAAATAGATCACGACTTGAGATTGAGCTATTTAACCAGGTTTAAGTCAAAATAATAATGTCATAATCATTAATTATTATGTTACGGTAAACTTCTTGGATTTTGGTTCTAAGTCCGTGAACATTCTGGTATAACATATTAATCGACGCGCCTTTTAAGCATTATGACACCATGACGTGACCTCAACCTTACATTTTAACTTGAGTTACTAAGAATGTCCATATTTTTAACTACTTTATAATCAGAATTATCATACTTTCGTATCAGTATACGATTATTTCGAACCTAAACATATTTATAACCTTTTTCTTTAGCTTTAAGTCTCGCCGCGGCATGTAGAGCTTAATTTCCAGGTGACAGATGTTCCATGATATAAATGGGTTGTTTTTCTTCACTTAGCCCAATTTCAATGTGTGACGTATTTATCTCTAGGGTTGCTTTTATTATATTTTATCACCGCAGCCATAACACTGTCCCTGGTTAACGGAGAATTAAATTTTACTATGACAGATCTCGGTCAAGTACTTTGACGATTTACCTTAGCAACTCTCGTAACATTCGTAATTTTGTCGGTGGTTATATCTAACCCTATGACACTGCCCAACTGTTCCACGATTTTGATTAGATTTTCGTTTTTCCTTTCAGGAACACATTGAAATTCCAAGTTATTGTATCTAGTACGCTGTTCCAGCTCATTTACCCGTGTGTTAAGGGAGTTTATAGTTGCCTCTAATTTAGTTTTATTTTCTTTAAGATCCTTCACAGCTGTAAGATTTACACGATGTTCTTTCAAGAAATCCTCGTATTGACCGTTTATAAAATTTATGAAATTTTTCATGTCTGTGATCTCTTCCCTTATTACTTTTTATTCATTATTTAGTACGCTTTTTATAGAAGTTCTAATTTGTGTCAGCGTTTCTTTCATTTCGACCCTTACTGTTTCGCTCACCATCTCCCGTATATCATTTAGCTGAGAGGATTTTTCTGTGTTTAGTGACGAAACAGCAACTCTATTAGTCGATCTTTTCGTGACATTCTGTTCGCTGCCAACTAGCGTGTCTTTATTACGCACGGGTGTGTTTTCGTTGTTACCTTTCGGCCTTCTTGACGTGCAGGCGGGGCACATCCACTCGTCGTGGATTCTGTATTCTTTTATTAGACTTCAGACACGCGCAGTGGTATCCGTGTTTACATTTTGCACAACACATGCAATCTTCATCGTCTTTCGCTACGTTGCAACAGTTCCGCTGTTTTTTTTGACATATTTTTAGACCTATTAAATTATGATTTATTTTGTTAATTTTCCTAAATTTATATTTAAAGTGGTATGATGGACTGTACATTCAAATAAAAAACTTAAAAAAAAACTTTATCAATCTGAGGCTCGAACCAACGACTTTCGCCTTTGTAGCCAAGAAGTTGCCTGTTGAGGTATTTAGCTATGTTTCTTAGATGCGAAAACTTTAATCTTAATACCACACTATTTACATATCTTTGTAAATGGGTATTCATATGTAATCTCTTTATAGTTTAATAGACGTGCACAAAATTTTCAATTATAGAATAACATTACCATATAACTTGTGTCACAAAACTTATTGTGTAACTGTTGTCTGACTTTTTTATAAACTTTACGAAATGGTCTTTGATTTTTACATTGATAATTAACCGCTTCTATTGTCTTCAATTTCACTTTATAATAATAATCATATTAAGTTAAAAAAAGAGTAATTATGTAAATAAATTGATAAATTTAAATGTTCTATCACTACCTAAACGGTGAATTCCACCATCACCCTTCACAGTTAGCTACCGTGGGCAAATCGTTGTTGCAGAGAGCACGAGGAATCTGTGACAGCAAACACCTGGCCGCCGAGCTTCAGCACGTCAAGCAGGTTCTGCACGACAACAAGCTTCGGGTTCCGCGCCTACGTCACAGTGACCGAGGGAAGCCGGCCACAGTCGAGCGTGTGCCTGCTGTACTACCATATGTCAGAGGTGTCACAGACAAGATTGGCTACGTCTTGAAGCGAGCTTCTATTAGAACATTCTTCAAGCCGCCGAAGAAGATTAGTCAGTTCTTACCATCCGTCAAGTGCAATATTCCTCTACAAGATGCAGGAGTATACAAACTTGATTGTGAGTGTGGTCTCTCATATATAGGGCAAACAAAACGATCTATAAAAACCCGCGTAAAAGAACATATAGCTGACGTGAAGCACCAACGTTCCGGGAAGTCTGCAGTTTGTGATCATATCCTAGACGGCCCCCTCCATTACATTAGATTTGATAAACCACAAGTTCTCGCGAAAGAACATCGATTCCTGCCAAGGATGATACGTGAGGCTATTGAAATTAAAAAACATCCTAATTTCAATAGAGAGGGAGGCTGGGTGCTACCACCTGCTTGGGATCCTGTAATTCATAAAATTAAAACTAAACCCAAGCATACCACTGCAAGACTTCAAGACACAGTTAGTTCATTCTGCGTAGATCGGACCAAAATTAACAATTAAAAAGCT